GGGGGGGTGGGTGGAGGGGGGGGTGGGAGGAGTTGGAGGAGAAGGAATGGAGAGCCGGGCTCTGGAGGCATCACCCTGACAGCCCTCCTTTCCCCTCAGGATCCGGGGTACCAGCTACCAGAGCCCCCACGGCATCCCCATCGACCTGCTGGACCGGCTGCTCATTGTCTCCACCTCCCCCTACAGCGAGAAGGACACGAAGCAGATCCTCCGCATCCGGTGCGGGCAGGCTGGGGTCCGCCCTGTTGGACACACGGGGACACTGAGCTGGGGGGCGGGGGGGGCGCGGTAGTGACTGGCCCAAAGTCTCTGGGCCTGAAAGAGGTAGAGCGCGGCCTCCGATGCAAGGTGGGGGCCCCTGTGGGGAGGGGAGGGGAGGGGCTGGTAACTGAGGTGGAGGAAAGAGCCTGTGTGGGGAGAGTCCAGGCCCAGCCTGTGCCTCAGGGGCCCTTCTTGCCCAGCGTTCTGCAGTTCTGAAGACGCAGGCTCCACATGTTCTGGGGCGGGAGGGGGGTGGGGGGGGATGCAGTCACAGGCCTGACCTCGTCTGACCCCCACCCCCACCTGCCTCTGCCTGCAGGTGTGAGGAGGAAGATGTGGAGATGAGCGAGGACGCCTACACGGTGCTGACCCGCATTGGCCTGGAGACCTCCCTGCGCTACGCCATCCAGCTCATCACCGCCGCCAGCCTGGTGTGCCGGAAACGCAAGGTCAGCCGGCTGGCGAGCCCTCGGGGCCGGGCCAGTGAGTGACCCACCACTCCAAGGGCTTGGGGTCGGTTGTTGCATTTGGTCCGAGAACATACGTCTTCAGAGGCAGGGACTTTGTTCCCTGGGTTTCTTTCTGTGCCTGCTGGCCTGACACACAGTAGGTCCTCAGTAAACATCTGTTGACTGAGAGTTGATACTGTAAGTCCGTCTTACAGATGAAGGAACTGAGGAATGGAGAGATGGGGCTCACCCAGGAGGTGGCCGAGGTGGTATTGAACCCGGACGATGTGGCCTGAGTCCCTCCCTTGGGAGGCCCCCTGAGTTCTCACTGTCCCCCCTCAGGGCACGGAGGTGCAGGTAGACGACATCAAGCGGGTCTACTCACTCTTCCTGGACGAGTCGCGCTCCACGCAGTACATGAAGGAGTACCAGGACGCCTTCCTCTTTAATGAGCTCAGTGAGTGTCTGTCCCCCGC